ATAAAATGAGGCCACTGGACCCAGTCCTTTCTAAAGTTTTTCCAGATTTCTAATCCTATAACTATTTGGCTTCATGAGATTCCATCCTCACTTCAATATATTGACTCTGGGTAAGTCCCATTTCTTTGTACTGAGATCTCTGCGTTATGAAAACCGGGACTGTGCCTGCCCCACTCCCTTCCCTAGAAGAGACTCGACAGAAATAACTAGGGAAATGTCAAGTTAAAATCCCTTTCTGACTTCATTTGAGAAAAATGAGACTGCTGTTGTAAGATAAGCAATGCCACTTGAAAGATGACTTACCTGCAAGTTGGTGTATTTTTCTACCTTCTGATTGACTTCTTATATTTTTTGCTTTTTCAAGCTTCCTTACTTAGAGAAAGTTTTTTACAGTAAAAAAAGGAAGAGAGAGACCCCCTCATTCACAAAGTGTGTCTCACTTTCCCTTTTGTAACGTAACATCATTAACACTGGCTTCTTGGTAGGATAATTAGGGGCTGTTCACTGCCCCCTTTTCCTTTATCCACTCATTTCCTTCTGATGCATCAGCCTGGGTGCCTGCTTTATAAAAGAGCTTCCCCCACCCCCACCCCCAAAGGAGCTTCTACCTATTGTACTGCTCTCCTATCGGGGGGCTCCTTGTTTGAACATCGAATTTGTTTACCTACAAGGTTAAGAAAATGAGCAGCTCTGTACTTGAAATATGATAGTCTCCCTTCCTCATCACTGGTTTCAAAAAAACATATTGTTGGTGAGGGTTAATCTTACATCATCAGAGTAGACAGAGTCCCTCAGTGGTTCCATGTCTTGAGAAGCAAGTCCAGAGCTAGAAGCCTGCAGACTTGGTTTCTAGCTCTGGCTCAAGCCTGGATTAGCTATGACCCATCCCTCCAGGCTCCAGGCTCCATAACTTACAACGAGCATCTTTCTGGTTCAAAAGCTCTGTTTTCACTTGGCTCACGGCCAACTTTCCTCCAAGCCCAAGCCAGGCTAACTGTGCAATCCATTTAAATTTGGACAGGTGGACTATGCTGGCAGTTGGATTCCTTTTGTACACAGAACCAGCAATGACCTACTTAGAGTCAGCCCAACTCTTGGTGACTATTCATGAGGGCCCCTCCTTAGCAACCCACAGAAACCAGCCAGGTGACATCCCAGGCCACCTTGGCCAAGATGAACCAGACTCTCGTCCTGAGGATAAACACAACCCGACAGCATGGAGCTGGAGGCTCCAACAGGACCAAGGTCCTGCTGCAGCTCATTTGGTCTTTCTGTTCCCTTGTGGATGCCTGGCATGGCATATACACATGTATGTTGACAGTTGTTGGGGAGAAATGTTTAGCAGCGAAGAACGGCTTAGCCAGGGGGGACTTCCATCCTTCCCATACTTCATGCACTCTTCCATCAGCACCACAGCATGGGAGGCTTCCTTCATACTCCCCGGAGGCAAGAAGACGGGAAGAAGCACATTTTTCCCAGGGCTCTGCCATTCCTGGAACGTATGACCTTCTCAAGAACAGAAAATCACAACTTTAATGTACAAGCAGCACGAACCCGAAGCCTCACAACAGCTGCATTATGGGCTCACTCTTTCTGGAACAATAAGCCCCTTTGGGTCAAGTCCCCTGGGCAAATGGGAGTCTTTTAAGTCACTCTGGAATCCAGGGAATAGGCTGGTTTTCTGTTGCCTACAAACACTGAATTACAAACCTTGTCTTTCTTTAAGCTGGACCACTTCCTTTCCTCTTGGAAAAGACCCCTCTCTTTGTACAAGGCCCTGGGCTGCCACAGAAAGTCTCGGCCACACCGGCACACTGGAGCCCCGATGTACTGGGGTGGGGGGAGGGAGGGTCTGTCTGGATTTCTGAGCGCCTCTCTCTGCATCTCCCTCTGCTCTGTCTCTGTCACTCTCTGTGTGTCTGAGTGAGCCTCAGTCTCTCTATACATCTCTGTTTCTTTCTGTATTTTTCTGGGTCTCTCTCTGTAACCCTTGGCCTCTCTCTGTGTCTCTCTGACTCACTGTGAATGTGGGTATCCTGTGGTGGGTGTCTCCATCTCCCTGTCTGATCTTCTCTCTCTAGATCTGTAGAGACACGGACACAGAGGATTGGATGACTTGTCTGCACATGTCCACATATCTGGGTGGCTCTCTTACAACCCAGAGTCACCACGCCCCTCAGTGTCTCTGTACTTCTGTTTCCCCCTTCCCTCTGTTTCTATGTCTCTCTCTCTCAGACATTACCTCAAAAGTGAATGAACTTCTACATTATCCCTGAGGTCTCTCACAGATAATGTTTATGATAATTCCTTGATCTTTTCACACTAGGGAAAGAGAGGGGCCACAGTGGGATATGTGCAGATATTGTTGATCTCACGCCCTGGGGATGGCGGACTAGAGAGGGGAGGGGGCGGCAGCCACAGAGAACTGGCACCTCTGCTCACTGCCAGTGAGGAAATCATTCCTAATCACGACTCACATTGTGATGTTTTTAAAAGAAAGGTCATACAGATGGCATGTCTTTGAGAACCCCCTTCCTTCGCACTCACCTCCCAAGTTAGGAGTATGGCCGGGTTTGTTAGCTTGGCCCTTTGGTGGCGTGACAAGAGAAATCAGTACAAAGGTTCTGTTGATGACAAAAGTACAAATTGCACTTAATCATCATTAGTCCGTTTTCGATTATCACAATTATTCAAAGCACATAGAGAATGGTGACCTACAGCAATTGATTTCATCCTTTCACTCCAACCCCTCCTGCTTTATATTAGCACTGCTGACAACATGGGAACAGGCTGCTGTGAGGACTCCTCCACCGGAGCCTGGCCTGGCTCTCTCGCCTGAGGGGTCTCTAGTGTGGGAGGGAGGTGGGAGGAGGCAGGTGAGTGGCGTGGAGAGACCAAGCAACACTAGAATGCCTCCTAGCCCTCAAACAGCTCTCCTCAGCTGGCCTGCTGGAACCTTCCATGTTACAGTCATCCTTTTATAATGCACCCGAGTCTAAAACAGCCTCATGTTTTCGGGAAATGTTGCTTAAGACAGGTAATACATTAATTTGCCGGTGGGATGATCCCCACATGAGCATAGGCTAACGCACCACAATGGATGTAAAAAGAACTCAGACAAGCACATTTCGTATCCTGGGTATGGGAAGCCAGGACTGACACCCCACAGGCAGGTACTGTGAGGGGACAGAGTTCAGTCTGGTCTGTGGGAGGTTGCTACACAGGGAGCCCAGGTCTACAAGGCAGGAGAGAAGACAGATGATAAGCCTACTTCCTCTGAGGGGGAACTGACTTTCAAGAGCCTAAAGCTAGTGGGCAGAGGAAGGACTGCAAGAAGTTAGCATAAATTTACCCGGTTCCTAGACCCGTGGTTCATAGCCCTGGCAGCTCATCAGACTCACTGGGGAGTTCTAAAAATAAATAAATAAATAATTTTTTAAAAAGTGACAGGCCCTAACCCCAAGAGTTTCTGGTTTAAATTTTCTTGGGTGTATGTGGTATTTTTTAAAAGTTCTCTAGGTGTTTCTAAGGTGCAGCCCGCATTGAAAACCACGGACTCCAACAACAAACAAACTGATAATAAAGTTCTGGGTATAATCTTGACTTATCTTTTATGTAAAAGCACCAAGAGAAATGGGCCAAATGACTATTTCTGGATAGCACTGAAGGGCGGAGTAGCCCTGTATGGCTGGATGGATCGTACTGAAATCCCATCAGAAAGGAGCCATGCCAAATTGGAAGGGATTGCAAGCGCCCAGCCTCTGGGAGAGCACCAGGCAGACCAGTGAGGCACTGGTTGGAGGGGGGGCGGTGTACTTTTGCCAGGCAGTCTGGTTAGAGCAAACATGTGCAATGCTAGGTACTTCAGGAAGGCGTGGATGAGAGGGTCCCAGCCTCAACTACATTAGAACCACCCCGGGAGCTTGTAAAATTCCCAGACACACCGCACACCAATCCAGTAAGACTCTCCAGGGGTGGGACTCAGGCAACACGATTGGAAGCTGCCTACCTGACTGCAATCTTTGGCTAAGGTTGAGATCCACTGCTTTAAATCACTATTGATGTTTATTCTCAGTAAAACGTAGCTTTTTAAAATTTCAGCTGGAAAGGATATGGAGGGGTCAACCATCCCCCAGGTTTGGAGACCAAGGACCAAGTTTGGGTAGGAGTAACACCAAAGGACCTAGGAAAATAAAGGGAAGAGCAAGGAGGGAAGGTAAAAGGGGGATGAAGGAAATCAAAAGAGAGACTAGAAGGGCAAGGGATACGGGGTGGGGCAGTGCTGCTACTCAGGGCCACAGGGTGTGGCCCTACTGTGGGTATGGATCCCGTCCAATGTTGGCGTGCGAAACTCCACATTGCCTCTTCTCTTGTGATTGGGAATGTCCCCTGGGCCAACCCTGATGCCCCTTCTGCTGCCATCCAAACATTTTCCCGTGTTTCCCTCACTCAGAACAGCTGAGGGGTCGGAGCTTGGCATAACAATACCTGGTTTCTGCACTGTGCGAGTGAAGGTCAAGGAAAGGGCGTGTATGCAACTAGACTGGAGAGCCTTCTCTACCGCACCGCTGAGCCGGCCCCAGCCTTCCTTTACATCTCCAGTAACCGTGGCAACCAGCCCCTCTTGAAAATCAAGCTATTGGGAAGTTCTTTGTGTAGCTGCAGAATTTGTTTCCCTGGACTTCCTCACTTTGTATGTGGCTCAGCCAACTGGAGTCAGAGAGAAGGAGCAGGCTGTCACAGGAAGATCAGATTTTCTCTGCTCTCATTTCTGGGCTTGGGCAGGGGCTTGCTCCCCTGCTGCCTAGGTTGAGGTCTGCCCCCCGCAGCAAGCCCCCACCCCCATCCCCTGCCTGGCCACTCTCTTCTGAATACATCTAAGTCTGCTTTCCTCTCTTTGGCTGTGGTGCCACTACTCCAGAAAGAATCGGAGCAGCTCAAAGAGGTGCTCACGGGGCACTTTGGAAACACCCATACCACAGAGTGTTGGGGTGACAGTTTTAGGAACCCTCCACATGCAATAACGAGTATGAAGGCTTTACCTCAGATATTCTGGAGACCCATTTTGCAGAAGTTACTCGACTCTTCAAAGCTTCTCTTATCTGGAGAGAGAACAAAAGGAGTTAAAAGATTATGAGAAGTCAACACAGGTGCTCAGGCCGGGCGAACACTCTGCTGAGAGAGTGTGTGACCAGCCAGGCCCTGGCAGTGGGATGTGTGGGGTGAGCAAGTGGGAAGAGTGCTTCAGGAGAAGGTGGGGAGAGGGAGAGACATAAGGACATGAGGCTGGCACAGGAGACTCCGACTCAGAGGGTAGAACCCGTGGCTATGAAATACAGTTTGCCCCAAGTTGGAGGAATCTTTGATTTCACTTTGGGAGTGGGTTTTTGGAACACTTGAATAGTTAGACATTTCCCACAGCTTGCCTGTTATTTGAGCCCCCCTTTCTAGGGGCGCCTGGGTGGCTCAGTCGGTTAAGCGTCTGCCTTCGGCTCAGGTCATGATCCCGGGGTCCTGGGATGGAGCCCCGCGTCAGGCTCCCTGCTCAGTGGGGAGACTGCTTCTCTCTCTCTCCCTCTGCCTCTCTGCCCTTCTGCCCCTGCTCATGCTCTCTCTCTCTCATATAAATAAATAAAATCTTTAAAAAAAAAAATCTTAAAAAAAAAACCAACCCTTTCTAGAGGCCAATACATACTTTAAAAAAAAAAAAATCCTATGCAACACAGCAAAAGTCCATGGAATGAAGAAAATAAGAGTTATAAATAACAATTATATTTTGTTTTTTTAAATATATATTAGATTTCACATAAATATAAATATGAAATGTAAATATATTTAATACATATTAAATAATATATCACATATATAATTATATATTGTATATTAATGTAATCAATAATAATATAAATTGATCTAATATACTAATAAAGCATGCTTATGTACTAAATAATATAAATAATATATGATATATTGTATGTTAATACTAACATGATATATAATAATATAAATTAATATAATGTTAATAAGGCATGCTTATATATTAAGTAATTTATTAATATATCAAATACATTTTGTTGCTTAAATTATATTTTGTTTTATATTCATACATTTTTTTAAAAACTCTTTAAAGCACTTTTCATGCCTATCATCTCATTTTATTCAAGAAATAATCCTGTAAAATAGATACTATTATTTCCATTTTACAACTGAGGACAGTAAGAGCAGGAGATGAAGTGACATCCAAAGTCAGTTGACTCCTGAGAAGAACTGAGACTTGACTTCATGTGCCCAGACTCCAGACCAACCTGTCATTTTCCCTACATCTCTCGTGCTGAATGCAGGCGCTGTCTTATTTCTATTCCATCTTCCCTTCTACTTCATAAAATGTCATTCACCTTCCAAGGCCTTCACAGTTAAGAGGTACCAAACTCCTCCAGCTCAGAGTGACTTCACACTTCCCAGAAAATGCGGTATTCTTTGTCACACACGGGACCCAAAGGGGGAGAAGCACTCCCTGGGACTTGGGGGCTGTGCACTCAAGGGTCCATGGGGATATGGGGAGACAACCTGGGCCTTCTATTTACATCTCTTTCTTTCTCATCCTTTTTAAATTTTATGTTTCATAACGTGCAAAATACATACTTTGTAATTTGATAATAAACCCATCTGGGGACATATGTTCACTGCCTTTTACTGATCCTAAAAAAAATGTGAGGATTACTGGCATAAACAACTTTATGTCAATTAATCATGTATGGTCCTGTGACATCTTTGAATCTTGACCTTTTACACTATAATGTTAAATGTAAGAGGTTTTGATCTTGATAGAAAGTTCTATGTCTTAGAGTTCTTTGCACATCTCATGACACCTGGTAAATTAATAAGTAATAATGCTGCTGCTGATGCTTTGACAATAAATACTAGTTGTGGTATTATGATTAATAAAAAAAAATAATCATATGGTATACAACTGTGTACTACCTTAAATGCTCTCTGTGTTTGTCACTTGCAAAATCACATTTGTTCTTTACCAGGATCTAGCAGAAGAGGCAGGAAAATCATCATTATCTCTGCTTTCCATTTGGAGGATCTGAGTTCCTGAGAATTAAGGAACTCCCCCAGTGGCGCAGAATTAGTACACAGAAATAGAAAGACTGAAACACTAATACTCTACCACCTCTAAATAATTTTTATTGGGTCGATATGTTATTCTAATAACAAGATAAAGGACCAGTGTGAAATACCTCTTTCATAAACCTCAGCTATTATCTTAATAATAGAGTTAATTAATTAATTAATTAAAAATCAACCCTGCAGTGAAGGTGTTTGCATCTACATTTGAGAGGGTTGTTTACTTTGCTCACTCCAGGAGGCAGCACAGTACAAAGGAAAGAGGGTGAGCTCAGAAGCCGGAGGAAACATTTGATACTTCATGCATGTTTGTTTCGTTTTTTGATATTTCATGCTTGTTTCGTTTTTTGGTATTTCATGCATGTTTCGTTTTTTGATATTTCATGCATGTTTCGTTTTTTGATATTTCATGCATGTTTCGTTTTTTGATATTTCATGCATGTTTCGTTTTTTGATATTTCATGCATGTTTCGTTTTTTGGTATTTCATGCATGTTTCGTTTTTTGATATTTCATGCATGTTTCGTTTTTTGATATTTCATGCATGTTTCGTTTCACCACCTATACACACTCAATCTGCAATTGGAAAATTCCCTTCCCTGAGTCGCCTGCTCTTTAAGGTGGAACTCACTGTCCCAATCTCCCCTGCTGCGGAGGTGCAGCCATCTGACCTGGACTCAGCCAATCAGACATGACAGTGCAAACAAGCAGGTGCCAGTGGACGCCAACAGGCTAGCAGGCGGCGACCTCCAAGACAATAGGAACAGCAATTCTAGCTCAGCATCTGCTGCCTGACATGGGCCTGGTGAGCTGTGCTATCTGTGCCCAGGGAAGTGGGAGGAGCACCGGGGTCTAGTTCTGTGCTCTAGATTGGGAATTGTCCCTGGCATGTAGCCTCCGAGCCTCCAAGCCAGAGAGACCTTCCCAAAGATGATATGAACTTAATAAATCCTCTTTCAGCTTCAACTTGTTAGAGTGGGTTTCTGTAGAGCTCATGGGCAAGTTTAATCACTCTGAGTCTCGGTGTCCACATCCATAAAACTGAAAATAAGAATACCCAAGATCGTTTTAAGGGTTAGAGCTGACGTACATAAAATGCTTAGCTCCATAGGAGTTTGCCAGAGGGTCGATTTTACTTGCATCATAAAGAAGAGTGATGCCGTGTGCAAATGATTGAGGTCAAAGATGCTCAATAAGTGGTCTTTACAAGTGAGGATTTAAGGGCCAAGTACTGATAATGAAAAGAAGAAGAAGAAGAAGAAGAAGAAGAAGAAGAAGAAGAAGAAGAAGAAGAAGAAGAAGAAGAAGAAGAAGAAGAAGAAGAAGAATTTACAATACCTTGGGATCCAGGATTGTTCCAAACACCAAGATGAAGAAGCCCTGAGAAAGACAGAAGAGGGAAGAAGAGCCATTTTAAATACCAGTACTCATCAGTTCCTATTCTGGTAAAAAAACAAAACAAAACAAAACCACCTAAACTAAAAACAGTTTATTAAATCTTTGACTCTCTTAAGGTCACAACACCTAGATTCATCCATTTGACGAATTTTGACTGAGCATCTTCCATGTGCCAGACACTTGGGATACCTCAGTAAATCAAACAGACCAAGGTCCATGATCCATACCAGATGATGGGATTTTTCTTCTTAAATTGGGCAAAATAAAAGTGTTTTGCATTTATCAGGAGCTCACCACAATGTATATCTCACCAGAATATAATAGTCTGAGCAAGAGCTAGAGGAGATGTTCAGCCATGGACAGCAACCTTGCAATCCTTGGAGAAACTATAAGGAAAGAAACTTCCACAGGAAAAAAAAGCAGAAGTGGCTATGCTCAGCTTCTGTTAACACTCTCAACCTCCTTCCCCATCCATAGCCAAAGATTGTTATAAAACTTGCAAAGAAAAATCAAGTGCATGGACCCTCAGAAGACTAAGACCCAAAACAGACTGAGCTGCTAAGCACATAACGTGTGCTCAGAAACAGATGCTGCAAATATGAGGACATGGAGGGACTTACTTAGCTCTCAGATCCCTTACCATCCATCCAAACACAGACCCCATTCAAGTCAAAAGGAAGCTGTTCCTCTCTAGGTACAGTCCCTTTGAATTGGCCCCAAACCACCCTGGAAGAAGGAAGGAAACGTATTTGTCCCATTTTCAGACAAGGAGAAAGAAACTCAGAGATTCAACTTTCAAAATGTGATAGATTGCAACATTCATTAGACAGTTTCTCCTGAAGGTGTGGTTACTCAGGTCCTGGCTCACCTGAGAGGAGAAATGAGATAAAGACTTTGGCTAACAGGACATCACCTTGTTAAGCTGCTTCGATTTCATAATCGAATGTTAACCCTTACCCAGGCAGAGGTCTATTAAGACACCTGGGTTTAATGTAAATGGCACCATAAAGATGTTGCACCCCAGTGGTCCTCAGCAGGAACAATACCAAACCCACTGCTACCTCTATTTGTAAAAAAGCTTACCTGAGAGGTGGAGGATTTCACAGAGACTGGTGCCGGCCATAAAACTCATCCATTCCCCCCAAAACATACTAAATATACCTATCCATTCAGCCAGTCCAGCAAGCACTCCAAAGCTTGGAGAGCTTCTATGGGATTGCTTTTCTGTGTGACACTCTTAGCCTACAAGGTAACTATTGAAATCTGTCACTCTGTCTACCAAGAAAATGTCATAGATGGCATGGTCCATTAGGTTACAAAGTGTCATTTGTATAAAGATGTTTGGGACAAATACATCCAGGCCTGGTTTCAGTACTAGGAATACATTTTTAAATCAGAACCTCCATGAATTTTGCCTAAGAATTAAAATTTTTAAATATCTAGGAACCATAATTTTAGCCTGTTTCTTCCAAAAAATACATTCCTCTGGCTAAAGGACGAAGAGGAATTTCTGTCCTTATAAGATTTTCAATTTCTCGAGGCTAAACTAAGTATATTCATATCTGCAAAATTTAGCATAATGCTTGACACAAAACTGTCAGCAAATGTGGTGTCTCTGTGTATTTATTTGTGTGTGTGTCTGTGTCCACGTCTGTGTGTGTGTTTAATGGCTTTATTATGCAACCTGCATTCATACAGTCTTAAATACATAACAGGGAAATATTCCACTTTTCATTGGTCCCACCCTGGGAAAAGTTACACAAAACATCATTCAGAAAATGTGGATAAATTACTAATCAAGGGTTTAGTATCTGATTGATAAAAATTCACTGGTAGCAGCTTCTTTGTATTTCTTTTAGTAAATAAAGCACAATTTGAGCAGATAAATCTCAAGGTATTCTCCAAAATTTTAAAATATATGCTTTACTGTTATGGAAGGAATGTTCGTATCCCTCCGCCAAAATTCATCTGTTAAATCCTAGCACCCAATGTGAAGGTATTGGAGGCATGCCTTTGGGAGGTTATTAGATCATGAGAGTGGAGCTCTCATGAAAGAGATTAGTGCTTTTCTAAAAGGGACCCCAGAAACTTCCCTTGCCCGTGCTGCTATGTGATGTTATAGCAAGAGGATGGTTATACGTCTATGAGGCAGGAAGCGGGCTCTCTCCAAACACCGCATTTGTGTGTGCCTTGACCTTGGACTTGCCAGCCTCCAGAACTGTGAGAAATAAATTTCTGTTTATTTGAAACAATCCTTGGTGTTTTTGTTATAGCAGCCCAAATGGACTGAGACATTTACTTTTCTCCCACCAAAACAGCTATGAGGGGGTCCCCAAAACCTTACCCGGCCCACAGTTACTCTCAGTAAATACAAGAGAGGATACCAACCAGGAGTTGTGGATTACAAAGTAAGCAGTCAAGTCAGCAACTGACTACATACTAATAGTTCCCTAGCAAAGGGGGTGGGGAGGGGGCTGTTTGAGCTTTAAAACCAGTGGAACAGGGCTAGGACCGGGAAACCTCCAGAAGAGTCTTTCTCCTACATCTTCTGGACCTCGCCATGTGTTCAGGGGTCTCTTTTCTCTGTCTGCTCCATCAGCGCCCCTCATCTCGGTTCATCCTAGGATTCTGCTTGTCCTGCTTCCTTCCTCTTGCTTGATTGTGTCCCCCACCTCAGCAGATTGATGGCTCTCCTTTCTCTCCTCCCACACTGGGCATCCCGAGGATGCCCTGGCCCACTGACATGCTGGTAAATAGCAATAACCAGCTCTCCTAATTTGTAGCACTTGCCAGTCTCCATGGTTCAATACTCCCACACTGGCTGGTTTAAATCTAGCAATGCGACATCACCAAACGTGGAGTTAGGAAGCGACGGACACATCATCATACAGTGTTTCCACCGTACAGATACAATAGATGCAAATGACCTCAGGAGCATAGGAAAGTGTTGACAAATAATTGGAAAGTAATGCCTTTTGAGGATGTAGGACCTTACACAAAACCTTTGTTTTATTTAATTACAAGTTTACATATTTAATTTTTAATGAGGTCAGTTGGCAAAACTCCTGAAAATAGAAGTCATTTCTCTTGAGCCAGTAAACACCAGCCCCAGCACACCAGTGCCTATGGCCTGCCCCAGTGTCTACCCTTCACCCACACCCCGCTCTCAGCTTCTCACCTCCATCAGTACCAGCATTTAGATGAGCTCCACCCTCCTTGGCAGGAGTCAAGGCAGAAACTGAATTGAAATTACAGATTGATCCTGTCACCACAGGTAAAGGAGCTCATGGTACCAAAATGCAAATGCACACGGCCTAGTCCAGAACAAAACTCACAGGCAAGGTGGCCCCTGGGGAGACGAGGAAGGGGAAATGCAGGGGAGTAGATACATGAACTCCTTAAGGGCTCCTGACAGCCATGGGATACACTGAACAGAAATTTGAGAACACTAGGTGGTTATCCCAGCCCTATCCGTGACTAGCTGCATAAACATGGGTAAAGCTATACAAAAAATGTTGGATACACTTCATCTTTTTCCTATAGAAATGCATAAAAACAGAGATTCAAAAGATGAGGCACCCCTATTATTATTAACCTTGTTCGCCAAGGCGTCAAAATGCTTATTGTAAAACGAAATCATTTTTGAAAGAGAAAAAGGAGAAAATATTTGACTTCAAATCTCTATTATCCATCAGGTAAAACATTTATTTTCAAATAAGCCTACATTCAGAAAAAAGGATTATTTTAAAGGTCATTAGAAAAATCAAAGCTTTCTTATCAATTAGTTCCTATCTACATACTTAATATTCAGTAGAATAAACTTTGGCTCACTGGTACACAATGACAGAAAACAATGAAAAAAAACAAATTTCAGTAAGGAATTATTGAATATGAAATACCATACAGTCATTAAAGAGACATATTTATACACAGTAACCTCATAAGAGACTACTATGTATTTTTAAGTGAAAAAGTAAGGTGCATAATAATGTATATTTTTAACCCTTATATTATATCAAAATATATTTTTATATAAGCATAAAAATTTGGCAAGGAGACACATGAAACTGTGAACATTGCTTAATTCATAGAGGTGAGAGAAAAGAAACTCTTTAATATCACTCTGTATGACTTGCCTCATTAAAATAAGATGGCTTCCAATGGGAATTAAAAATTCTAAATGGAAAGAAATATAATAAAGATGCACATTTTAATACCTCCAGTTAGGTACCTGGATTTGGGGGAAGTGGTGATGTTTAATTTCTAAACAGTAGGAGCTCAACCTTACCGTTGTGCTATTTATGATCTTTAGGTCATTTTGGTACTTGGTGCTTTCCTATTCGGTGTTTTATTTCATTTTCCTAACACCATTATAAGGTGGGCAGTATTATACCCATTTTATAAGTGAGAAAAACGTGGCTCAGAAAAGTTAAGCAGGTATCTTAAGAGATCATTACGCATTAGTAGGTGAGAGGGTCAAGATTTGAACCCAGGCCTTTCTGGGGAAAAATAGCTTATTTCCTAACTCAATACGTTACCCCGAATCTGTTGTCTTTTATAAAGAAATACATTGCAGAAGCTCCGGATGACAAAGCTTCTTCCTGAATTCTCCCACTTAGTACTGGGTCAGTAGCACCTAGACTTACCTGGAACGCATTGAGCAAGGAGAAGATAATGTGGAAGGCCAGGATGCTGTCATCGATGACAGTGGCTATCCCGAATCCCCAGGTCAGCCCCAGCAGCGGTGTCAGGATGGCGATATTCTTACTGATTCTCACAATGGCTCTCACCTCTTGGAACATGGAACTGCCAATGGCAGCGCGCTGGGTCTTGACAATCACCAGTGTGACCGTGATCAGGTTTACGACCACGATGGCCAGGGCTGGGACCACGAAGGCCAGGAGGGCCTTGGTCATGTCCCAGTTGAGCCAGCAGGCCTCAGGTCGTAGGTAGCCTTTGCTGGGCTCAGTGGCAGCAACCGTAACAGCAGCAATGAGCAAAGGGCACCCGTAGCCGACTGAAAAGAGAGCAGCCACCAGGACTGATTTGGGCAGTGTACGGAAAATAATCAGGATTCCATAGAGGATAAGGAGTGCCTTGGCAAGCATCCAGAAAAACACAGAAAGGTAAAAGAAATGAACAAAAAATGTTGCTGCCACACACCCATTGTGGTGTGTCACAGGACCACTGAGATAGGAAGCCACAATGAACCACACGTCAGCCATCAGCAAGGTGGCCGCGATGTTGGCGATGCACACGTGGCGTAAGTATGAGATCTCTGTCTTCGTCACTTGGCCCCAGACCAAGGCCTCGATGATCAAGCAAAGGATCAAGCTGCAAATCGAGATGCCCAGGCCTATGTACGTGATATGAATCAGGATCGGGCTCTCCAAGATGTGGGGTGACATAAGAATGGAGAAGGAGGTAAACAACTTGCTTGGCCTACATTTGCAAACAGCTTGCTGGGAGTTTTCTTGAATTATTTGACAGGCCTGCTGGTCCCATCTGCTCTCCAGGGAGTGCCAGCCAACACACTGGGTCCTCCTCTCCTCCGACTTGCTGATCTTTTCAAAAATCAGCGAGATTCTTTTCAGTTCCTTGGGCAAAATGACAGACAAGACAAGCCCATTGACGGTGACATTCTCCAAAAGACTGGCCTCTAGGATGGCCCCAAGAGTCGGAAATGCAATGCTGACGGCCTGGGAAGGAGCGGGCACGTTCTGAAGTTCATCTCTACCGATCAGCACCTGCCCGGTGACCTCACGGCCTGTGTCATTAATTCTCATTGAAAAAGTGAAATTCTTGCCAGCGTTGTCTCGGGATATGGTGGTGCCCGTAGTATGAATGAAGACGTCTGATATGTCAATGGGATACTTACTTATAAATAGCTTTCTTGCAAAGGAATTGACCGAGTGTAGCAAGACACAGCTGCTGTTTCTTTCGGGGATGAAGGTCCAGTTTGAGATGCTCTTGCTGTTAAGAATGTGGTTGGCCATGACGCTGTAACTCTGCCAACGAAGGAGCAGCGTTAGTACCGAGCCACCACCTGAATCTGCCAGGACAGTCAGGGTTCACTTCTATAAAGTGTGGCCCGCCAGCCAGCCGCATAGGCATCCCCTGGGAACTTCTTAGAAGTATGAAATCTTGGGGCACCTAGTGGCACAGTCGGTCAGGCTTCTGACTCTTGGTTTCGGCTTGAGTCATGATCTCAGGGTCCTGGGATCGGGCCCCGTGTGGGGCTCCTTGCTGGGCATGGAGTCTGCTTAAGACTCTCTCACCCTCTGCCCCTCCCACTCGTGCTCTCTCTCTCTCTCTCAAATAAATAAATCTATAAAAAAAAAAAAAAGAGGAAGAAGAAGTATGGAATCTTGGGGCCCACCCCAGAGCTAGTGAATCAGAATCAGCATCATAATGAGATCCCCAGGGTACTCGCAGGCCATGGAAGTTTGAGCCGGAGAATAGAGCGAGGAAGGCATTGCCCTCATGTCATGTATGAAGCGTCTCCCTGTGAGGCAGGCAAGTGGGCAGCCTTCCCCAAGCTCACTGACATCATCAGTTTCCCTTCACACCGTGGTGAAGCCAGCCACTTGCCTACCCTGCTCAGAGGACCCATCATGCAACGAACATCTATTAAGTCCCAACTGTATGCAGGACCCTGGACAGGAACATAGTAAATTGAAATCTGACACCAGAGGCTGAACCTCCTTTTTCTCCTCTGCCTCAAAGATCAAAAATAAAAGAAGTGAATCCAGGTCCACCTCACACTTCTGCAGCAGACATGTGTGGCTGTTTTCTTTGCTTGCGGCTATTTTCCATTTTAGCAGCCTGTTCTGACTCACAGGTGAGAGTAGGAAAAGACTCTCTGCAGAACCAGAATGGTTCTTAGAGGTGTTCAGTAGCCGAAATGTACGTTGGAAAAGATTCCCGTGTAGGACCCAGCACCCAGTAAGTTCTGTCTCTAAACGCGTATTGGTTGTGTTCACCTTTTCCATTTTCCCTTGTTTATTCTGTGGTGAACATTTATTGAGCATTTGCTACCCAAGCATCACAGACACCGATGTGAAAGACCCTAAAAAGCCCACAGAATACTCCAGCAAACCTGCATTCCTTTGCACCAAAATGTCATTCTACCAAATCAAGGTCACTCACCTTCATCTTCGCCTCATCAACACCCGTCAATAGCACCGTGGATATGTTGTGTAGGAGCTGCACGATGACAGCGATGTTTCCCGGGATCCGGGGAGACCGCTGAATGTTCCTGAGTACACAGGACAAATCCTCCGGACACTTTTGCATCAGCATGTCTGTGATGGTCTCAGACTTTCTGGCATGCTCTTTTTCTATTGTATTTCCTCCGAATGGCTGACCCGAATAGGAATTTGTCTAAGAAAGGGCAAAAAGAAAGTTTGTATTAGGTTACTTTTGCTTTGAATATGAAAGTACCTTTAAAAAAATTTAGGATAGCCTTATCACGCAATTGTACACGCAAAATGTTTTTCAATTTTACATTTTCATAGTCGCATTTGCTATGGGATAACTTGCCCCATACCAAGGTAGGTGAAGAGAAAACCAGAGGTCCAGGTTGCCAGCTGACTGCACCTAAACCCTCGCCATGCCGAGAACAAATGCTATCTCTAGCATAGCACTTCAGAGCGCTTCTGTGTATATACACCGTATCTATGTCCTGTGCATCTGATAAATTTCTAGTGTCATTTAAGCTTATTTTTACTAAGCATATTTTATTTTTATTTTTTTTAAAGATTTTATTTATTATTTATTTGACAGAGAGATAGAGAGAGAGCACAAGTAGGCAAAGAAGCAGGCAGATGGAGAGGGAGAAGCAGGCTCCCCGCAGAGCAGGGAGCCCGATGCGGGACTCGATCCCAGGACTCTGGGATCATGACCTGAGCCGAAGGCAGCCGCTTAACCGACTGAGCCACCCAGGCGCCCCACTAAGCATATTTTAAACATAGACATTCTGAACCAGATTTGGATGAATCAACAGACACCAGCACAAAAGAGTGACTGAAAATAGTGATAAACAGGCTGCCCCACAGATTCAGGCTCTGGGTCCCACACTTCAGAGCAGGGGGGGCAAACATGGTCCCCGACTGGCTGCCTATATTTGTAAATAAAGTTTTATTGGGACCCAGGCTGCTCATTATTGAAGTATTGTCTATGGCGGCTTTCTTGCCACAGTGGCAGAGTTGAATACTCACAAGAGAGACCCTATGACCCACAGGGACTAAAATATTAACCATTTGGCCCTTTACAGGAAAAAAAAATTGCCAACCGTTACTTTAGAGGACCCTTTTCTGGCCTCCTTTTGCCTGCCCCCTCACAAGACAAAGAGACTGTGGGCCTAGAGGATATGCCCACTCAGAACTCATGTCCCGGCATCTAGACACTCAAATCCCCTGCTCAGCAACCCCAAGCCCACTTCCGGGGCCTTCATGGGCCTCTTCCCGAAGTCTATGCTACCAAGGATGGAGCATGGCACCATTATGCTCACCACTAGGCCTGAGAGGTGACCAAGGGACACTGGTTGCAGGGTTATGAGCATGTGACCTTGGCTTTCCACCACACTGGAGGTGCAGGTTAGAATCTGACGGGAGACCAGCAGAACATATTTTACTTAGCAGTCTGGAAGCTTGATTTAAAGCATTTAGATATTAAAACATATTGGAGATGGATCTCTGTGTGTATCTTTGCCCAGATTCCTCAAATTAGGGGTGGGCCCGGTGATGGACACCCTGGGGTGGGCAGTCTTTTGAAGTCTCGTCAGGGACTTCAGGTGCAGCATCCACTGGCACTCCCCCTGGTCACCCCCAAAACCACCAAATGGGGAATGTTCCCTAGGACCAAAGAGATGCAAAAGCATTGACTCCTCTGAAGGAATCAGGAGCTGAACTTCAGAAAGGTGAAGCCCCTAGGAGAAGAGGAGTGAAAGAAATAAAAAGAGAAGAAATAATATTTCACCTGATTTTATTTATCAAAATTTGATTTTTTTAAAATGTGTCATTACTTAAGTATGTATGGAAATAGGTTCATTTGTTTGATAATGAAGTCCTTCCCTTTAGGTCAGCTTGCTCCTCATGCTTTACTGAGCACAGAAATCACCTGGGGATCTTGATAACCTGCAGCTTCAGATTCAGCAGGTCTGGGGTGGGGCCTGCATATCTAAAGTTCTCAGGGTAGGGGTGCCTGGGTGGCTCAGTCGTTAAGCACCTGCCTTCGGCTCGGGTCATGATCCCAGGGTCCTGGGATCCAGCCCCACATTGGGCTCCCTGCTCAGTGGGGAGCCTGCTTCTCCCTCTCCCTCTGCCTGCCGCTCCCCCTGCTTGTGTTCTCTCACTCTCTCTCTCTCTGTCAAACAAATAAATATAATCTTTTTTAAAAAATAAACAAATAAAAGTTCTCAGGGTAGCTCATGCTGCTGGTCAGAGAAGGGTACATTGAGGACCGAGGCTTTGTAGTAAAGAGCTAAGAGCAAAAATGGAGAAGTAGGCCATGATCATTCTCGACAGCTCTTCTAGCTCTGAGCTGAGGATCAGGTTCCTTTGTGTCATGAAGTGTGTGAGCCCAGAGCACAGACTTTCAGATGCCCAGATTTAGGACTTCCATTTTTGTGCAGAGAGAGAAAATGAGTAGGTGTTTATTCACGTTAAAAAGCACTCACCTACCAGCCCTGCTTCGTGCTCCCCCTCTCTCTTATTGACCACAGTATGCATTGCTAATTTGGGGCTCCCCTCTGTGTATGAGAAAAAGGATATTACCTCAAAGATGTTGAAGGCATTAAGAGTCCGGCAGGTTTCAGTGATCTTGTACCATTTCTTTTGCCTGCATAAAAACCCCATATTCCCCTGAGTGTCAGGAGGGCAAGGTTGGCTACAGTGGGAATTGTCTACACAGACACCATCACATACACCTGGGGAAATAAAAGGTATCAGCATCAGATGGAGAGCTCAGGGCTGTGCACTGCATGGGCCAATCACCAAGGTGTCAGCATAATGAGGACACATAAACCCCGTGGACATCAGATGTATTTTCTTCACAAAGTGGAGGAAGGTTGAAATAGATCAGTGATCATCATCTATTTCAGTGACAAACACCTGTTGTCTCCAACAAACTCTTATCCAGAACTCAAACGTATAAAACAGATAAAAGTGGAACTTCGCCAGGTGAAGTGACAAGGGAGAGCCCACGTTCAGTCCACGAGGTCTCTCATACCCCACAGCTCCCTCACAGTCCTCCAGCTCCCCAGAACACAGTATGGAAGCCACTGCACCCCATGTTCTTTGAGAAAGCTCTCAGCTCCAGAACTTCGTTGAGTTATGTCATCCATGAGTTCTCACAGCCCTGCTCTGGCCACTGCTCCAGGCTGGCCTGGCTCAATTGAAAGAGTTCATGGCAAAGAACTCTCTGGCCAGGATGGCGCAGAGGGTCCTGGGAGGAGAGGGGAGCAGGGGCCAAAGGTACAATTTAATATGAGAAAACTAAAGAGTCCAAATGCGAGCCATCAGGGAGTCCCATCTGTCATGCCATCAACAGAGGGCTGAGCATGGCTCTCTGTCCTAATAAATAAACAAAAACTTCCATTTGATTACTAACCACTGCCAACATACCATGTGGCCTGGCAGAGATCTTCTCCTTGCTTTTGTTGGCAACCTAGAAAGGGAAAATCAAAATCCACGTGAAAACTAATTGTTGCAATGCCAGCCCAAGGATCCACTTTAGGCACAGACTAATGATGCCAGGCCGCCACCAACAGCCAAGACCATGAAGTATGTCATCATTTTGTCATCAGTCTGGACAGTTTTCTCTCCTGCTGCAACTCAGCAGGATCCCTCCTTCCTCTCCAGCAAGAAGGACCAGCATTCTATCCAAGAAATACACCAAGAGCAGAGGTGGAATTACGTGGAAGCTAAAGGAGGCTAAGCTTTGGAATCCCTTGCTTGTATGGTCCCCTTCAAAACACTGACAGAGGGTCCAGCAATGTGTTCACACGATCGTATATTTTATTAAATTTTCAAAGCAAAACAGTTTAACCATCTTCTGTTCAGACCACTACTTTTTGCCACTCCACTTTGCCTTCCTTCACACTCTCCCTCATTTTGGATGGATAGCACCAGAGAGGTTGTAGGTATTTATGGAATCTGGACAAGTAAAGGTTGAATTGGGGATCCATCTAGTTCGAACTTAATAGGATAGAGTTATGAAATTTGCAGTCATTTCCACATTACAATGGGGACGTCGACATGTAAGTGGCACTCATTTTTAGAGTATTTACAATTCTTAAAAATATAGTATTTACAATGAGTCACAGAATGAGAAAATTCTAAGTGTTCTGGACATCTTGCAGCTCATATTTCAAAGAAACTTGTTAGATGCTTTCCCAAAGTTGACAACAGACTTACATATTTACATGGCATTACTAATAATGAAAGGAGAAGCTGAAAGATATTTTTCTAAACTAGCAATAATAAAAAACAAATTTGATCAGCAATGCTGGAGGAAAAACTGAATAATCTTTCTATCTTCTCTACAGAAAAAAAAACATTATAAAATTATTGACATGCAAGTATGCAGCCAAAAATGTAGAGAAAAAGATGTGGGCAGTTTATTAATAAAAATACTGTGATTTTACTGGGTTTATTACTGAATAATGCTGAGTAATTGGTGAATGTAAAACTCTTTAGCATTTCTAAATTTGTTGTAAAATTTGAAATTTATTGTAATTACTTTCCTCAATTTAAGTAGACATTCACTTTTCCCTTAATTTTGTATTTGTAATTTTGTATTCCTGTTCTTTAAGGAAACCTCCTCCAAATCTAGGCTTCCCCCTATCACGAGCACTTCCCACTCTCCTGAGTAAAAACCCCTCTTCATCCCACTCATTCATATCAGACTGGAACCTTCACTGAGTGGCAGTCACACATTGTTGTCAAGGGGTATACTCTGGGAACAGACCACCTGGGTTCAAATCCCAGTACCACTACTTGAGACCTTGGAAAAGTTCATCTCTCTGGGCCTGAGTTCCATTATCCGTGAAGTAGGGTAAGAATGATAGTATTATAATTGTGTGATACCTCAGAGCACTTTAATGAAGAATAAATGAGATCATCCTATGGAAAACACTTAGAATGGGGCCTGGAATATTGTAAGCAGTATTTAAGACTTAGCTCCCATTATTACTCTCTGAATAGGGACTTACTGAATATCTATGACATACAAAGCTCAAGTTTGTCCCTTCCAAGAAGTCTTTCCTGATCCAGTTCTAAATGATACATCCTTCTCTCTCTCTGGCTCCTGTAAGATTTATTATATATACCACTATAACCCTCATTCAATGCTTTGTATATATGCACATAGTCACTTACCTGCTATTTAATATCTAACCATTTTTATATGCACGTATTATCTTTTCAGTTAAATTGCATGTTCCTTAAGAACATGGGTTGTGTGCTATATCTTTTATATCCCCCTAAGTAGCTAGTTCTGTGTCTCCCATGTATGTGTGTATGTGTACGTATTAACATGTATGTATCCACTGACATATGCATACATGTATGTGTTTGTGTGTGTGCGAAGAGAGAATGAAAAAGAGACTGAAATTTCCTGTTTTTGTGCCAGAAGTTTGCTCTCTAGTGGCTAGGAAGAGCCGTGGTCCAATTCTCCAACTTGCATTCCAAGATCTACACCACTAGGGAAGGACCTAGAAACACAGTGACTTAGTTATGTGAGTAACATGTGGAGTTCATGTCCCTTTCCCCTTCAAAATATTGTTTCTCTCTATGTTATCAAGAAACAAGCCCAAATCTTCCATTTTCTCTACCAATAAGAATTTATGGAAAAATCTGAATTGAGCATTTAGGGTCTACTCAAGGGGAAGAAGGTATCACCGAGGATTCGTGAAATACAATGTCCTTCGAAGCACTGATGTAAAATGACTTCTCATTTCACAGTCTAGAGATCCAAGCCTTATTATATACCTAGAAGACTTAAAGGCTTTTGACCCAACAAGAATAATAAAATGGCATTTTTTGCATTTTGAAAGACCTTTTTATTTTATAGGTAAGGAAGATGAGTCTTTGATAGAAGAGGTGACTTACCTGAGGCCATACAGGGGGTTCCTCTTAGAGCTGGGTCTAGAACACAGCTCTTCTCAATCCTATGACACTGTCCTTTCCACCAAGTCAGCCCACGTGCAAGGACGTAGGGTGTGGGGAAGTGATGCCCTAAACCCATCTTGAGAGGGCCATGGTCCCTAATACACCACAATAAAGGACTTCAAAGTGAACAACTCTGGATAACCCTTGGCCCATTAAACAGAACCTCATGAAGTCACATTATATTAATCAGATATGTGGGCAGAAGACCATGGTGTGCTATTTACAAGGAATTCTGGAAACCCTGTCTTCTTAAGTGAAGGACCTGATTTGCCTCTTCCCAATTAACTTGCCAAAGCACATCCACATCCAACTCCTCCTGGTCATTTCACTTCTAGGCTGGCCTCCAATATGAGTCCCTTCAGCTTCAGACATCTGCAATCTTCAGCAAAATACTATGAAAAAGACCCTTTGGAAACGTGTAATCTGCTAAACCTGAGAAGTGGCCTGAGTGAGAAGGGAGGTCAGGAGAGAGGTAGCACCCAGAAGCTCAGCATCCAGCAACTTGTACATTGAGAAGAAAGGTATGGAATGTTTGTAAGGTGGTCCCCAATAACCAAGAAAACAAAACCAACATCCCAGACTCTGTCTACTCTCCACGTTCTGTCTTGTGGGAAAATATGGATGAGGAAATGAAGAGGGGAAGGAGAACCAAGTTGTGGGGTTGGGATGCTTTCTGGAAGAAGTCTTTCTGAAGGAGTCTTTAGCCTGTCCCAAAGCAAGGCACCAGCTCAGCGCTGGGGAGAAGGGGAGTCATAGAGAAAACTCCCAGCCAGTGGCATACTACTTAAAATGTAAAGTAAGTATCATTTGGAAACTCCTACAAAGAATTTCCAAAGTCATTCTTTCCTAAGGAGGCTTCTGCTAAGAAGGCACATAATACAATGGAAAGAACAAGAAGCAGAATCTAAAGAAATAGGGGTCCTGCCTTGGTGGTCCTGTGGCTGGATCAGTATGTAACCTCAAGAAAATCACATTCCACGACATGGGCCTGTTTCCTTCTCATGTAAGAGATGGAGCTTCGCCAGTTGATCTCAAAGCTCCCTTCCAGATCTTGTAGTCCAATAATAATAATAATTTGATATTCCCAAGAATATCAAAGTAGTTTTATGTCTCTCTCTCCATCTGTCTATCTCAATGATCCTCCACACCTTATTTTAAGTAAGTAACTGTTAAGGACATTAAAATGACTTATGGTATGAGGGAAAATATTCCAGAGAGCGTCATAGGGCTCACTGCCCCAACAAAATTTACAACCAGTACATTGCTACAAACTTCATCCCAGTTAAACCTTGATTAACCATTGACTATCTGAGGGGCTCATTCCTCCTTCCGGCCCATCCATTGCATTCACTCTCAGGATTCTCAAAGAGATCTCATTTTGGGTGGGACAATGCTTCATTGAGCCAGACGATTCCTAGGTCCTGCCCACTAACTGCCATTAAGTATCTCCCAGTCACTGTGACACCCCCTCACCACCCCCACATTTTCATGTGCCTCCACGGAAATAGCACTCCCCTGGTTATGAGCAATGACAATCTTCACCATCAAAGGATATGAGAAAAAAAAAGGAGTTTATCAACCTTAAATCATTTGAGCCTCATTGCATCTCAGGAACTCATAGGAAAAAATTAAAGTGAAAATAGTTTGAGGCTATTAGCCAAAGTGGGTTTTGGATACCTGTCGTTGCAGGTAACTTCTTCTGGCTGGACCACTGCCTTCTCCCTCCACTTGAGCACAGATAAGTAGGAGCTGCCTCACAGATGGGCTTTCGCTTCCATTGCTTTCCCACCAGCCTTCTCCCACCTCCCTTTTCTTACCTGGCATAACATCCTGCAAGACTCTGTGGGCATAAGAAACACGAAGCAGTACAGCCAAAGCATGTGAGTCATCATCTTTCACGTAGCTGCCTTTCTTGCTTCTAGAAAAATTAATGAAAAAGCAAAGTGTCTCCAATCTGAAGCTTTTGAAGCTTCTCCCTGCAGACCCGGTCAACCTGTAAGTCTAGGTTCTGTCCTTCATGCGGTCAACTCAGACTTCTCTGCCCCACAGGTGGCTTCCCTGTGACCTCCCATTGATCACGGGGAGGCTGCAGGTGTGAGTAACAGTTGGACCCGGGAAGCGCAGGCAATGGGATACCTCCTGTGGGAATCCCTCCAAAGGACGCCGCCTGCTGGGCTGCAGTGAATAATAGCCCGTGTTCAGGCAACCAGAATGATGGTTCACTCCCTGGGTTAGGCAGGCCTGAGAAACGTGTGGGTGGCTACGGTAGAAGGTGAGCTGGGGTTCCTATGTGCAAACTCAGCCCAGAAATATCTTGGGAAGGAGAGTAAGCTCCAGGCTTGGCCCATAATCCTCACTCCCACCTGACACCAGAGCTGTATTTTCATAGGTAGGTATCAAACTTCAAAACTGATCTTAGCCAAGTCCTGACATTGTGATTTCTGTCCAAATTGATGTCAAAACTGAAATGGTTCCTTGGCACCTAGAACATTGCTGGACACATGGTGGGCCCACGATATGCTCATTATAGAAAGAGGAAAGGAGGGAGGGAGGGGAGGCGGTTAGGAAGAGCTGACAATTTGTATCAGGTCCATGCTCTGTAGAAGACTCACGTAAGTTGAATTTTTTTAGTATTAAATTTTAATAATTTTAATATTTTTCATTTTGAGTGAAATCCTCTTTGAATGGTATTTGATGTTTCTCTGCTTTTAGATGGAAGTGTTCAGAGGACTTGGTGTCATCAACAGAGGCCAGGAGCTTTTGCAATGGTCGATGTTTGCTATTTGACCATTTTTAGCCAAAAAGGAGTAGCCTTTCTCCCAATCATGCATAATTCTACAGCAAACAATACCATTATTTTAAAGACTAGGCAAAATGTCTTTTTAACCATATTTCCTGCAGTGAAATATTTACCGCACTGAAATCCAATGACTATTTAAAATATTTTACATTGCCTGTTTCAGCCTGTTGTTAATAGGGTTTTCTGGAGGTCCGTAGTTCTTTAAGCACAAGGATTACTTTGTTGCTCATCACTTTCTAACGTATTTAGTAGAAACCCAGATAGACACACAGTTTCAAGTAGATTTCAGTCAGGTTGGCTTCCTTTTTTCCAACTTACATCTTTCAAAGGGATAAAAATCCAGTATGAAAATCACCAAAGTGACTTACCACAATCATCACCAATGCAGTTACTGCTTTGGGTAAAATCATCAAAATTAGAAAGAAATTAAAGCCACTGATGAATTTGTTGGCATATTTTCATAAAATCTGAGCATGAGTCCATGTTTTTCTGAATTACATTAATTTTACATTAAAATTCTCATCATACAGAATGTTTTCTCTTTAAAACTCCTTTAAAAAAAAAAGATTTAAGGAATGATAGAAGACAACAAACTTTTGAAGGGTTAGCACTGCTCTGCCCAGACCCTCAAACAGATTTTTTAAAGGGGGCTGGGAAGAAGTTGAATGATTAGATCAGGTGGATGGATCAATATGAAATCTTTGTTTGCTTAAAAAGTTTAAGGTGTCATATTGAAAAAAATATTTTATTGTCCTGTTGCTTTAAATTTTAAACGTAGTTGTTTTAATTTTATCAAAATGCATTTTGATTACGGGTGCCTGGGTGGCTCAGTCATTAAGCGTCTGCCTTTGGCTCAGGTCGTGATCTCAGGGTCCTGGGATTGAGCCCCGCATCGGGCTCCTTGCTCTGCAGGAAGCCTGCTTCTCCCTCTCCTGCTCCCTCTGCTTGTGTTCCCTCTCTCGCTGTCTCTCTCTCTGTCAAATAAATAAAATCTTAAAAAAATATAAAATGCATTTTGAGTAATTGTTTTTTATGCATGGCAAAATGAGCACTTTGTGCTTTATGTGGTAATGACCTTCACAGACTTTACGGTAGGGACTTTTTTGATAGTTATGCTATTAAAATTTTGGAGCCCAGAATTTCCGGGCGCCTGGGTGGCTCAGTCGGTTAAGCGACTGCCTTCGGCTCAGGTCATGATCCTGGAGTCCCGGGACCGAGTCCCGCATCCGGCTCCCTGCTTGGCGGGGAGTCTGCTTCTCCCTCTGACCCTCCTCCCTCTCATGCTCTCTGTCTCTCATTCTCTCTGTCAAATAAATAAATAAAATCTTAAAAAAAAAAAAAGAATTTCCTAGCAACTTCTTTGCTATCTGGGACTAGCTTGTCATAGAAGAACTGAGGACCATAACTCTGGAATGCTATCTTCGTGCAAGTTTCAACAACAGTGGGACTCTAGGTGCATTTTGAACTTTTTCTTAATTCTTTTAACTGGAAGAAACATTTTCTAAGGTTGGCTTTGTTGGTATTTTGCTTATAAAACTGCTCTTTAAGTAAAGTGGACTTAAATAAAATCAATTTTCTTCCAGACTTGTTGACATTAAGCCATAATCATTGGTTCTTTTTCCAGTCCCTTGAAAGCAAAAAGTTTGGAAGAAGCCAAAAGTATCGTGGCAAGACAGCAGCAGGAATCCAATCTTTGACCCCCCGCCCCCAACCCCCACGCCACCCACCTCCTTCCCATTTTCTTTTGAAAAGCCTCAGGTCTCTAATGGTTCAGACCTCCCTCGCCTGCTCACCCCACACCTTTCTGCAGTGCAAGGGTACCCAGAGTGTAACTCTTCTCTCTCAAACAAAGGTTCAAAAATGTTGGTTTCATGTATCCCAAGCCAAAAAAAAAAAAAAATTCATTACAGACATTCATTTCAGGAAAGGCTTATCTCTCAAGAACATACCACCTGAAAAAACAGTTACCTCATGCGATTCACACCAAAAAATCATGAAGCAATTACATCAGCGCTGACATTTCACAAAGTAAAATGTGCCAAATACAAAATGTTACAATTTTTTTCAGGGAAGAAAACATGTCCCTTCTCCTTTATCAAGAAGAAGAAGGAGGCGGCGGAGGAGAACAGTAGAGTGTCCGGGTACTGTGGCTAGATCTGCAGACATCCTATTTCCAAACATCCAAACTAAAATATGTTTTCCCATTCTCTGCTGTCTGCTTTCCAAATCTGAAAAAGGTGCCTAAGATGTTCATGTATGTGTTTATTCAACAAACACAAAATGAGCTCCCACTTTCCAAGCGATGTCCTAACAGCTCGAACTTAAACAACCACAAGGATAATTTCTTTCCCTGTCTGCTCACCACCTCAGGGAAGCCACAGGCTAATGAGGCTTCTAAAGCAGCTCCAAGGGTTTGGGAACTTGGATGGGCTTTGCTCCCTAGAGACCTGAGGACTCTAGAAGTCAAAGCTACTCAAATCCAGCATCAGAGCAAGAATTCCAAAGTGCCAGATTTCACCTATCGATTCTCGTCTACGTTAACAATTTAATTTCGACATAGCTCTTCCTCTCTCTATGTCAGATTCCTCCACCCCAAAGCCACGTGGTTGACTGGCAACAGGCACAGCTCACTAATGAAAGACAAAGCAGGCAGAAAACAAGCAGGGGAGCTGCATGCTGGGGCGTGTTCTGTGGATGGCCCCATCAGAAACAAACAGGGCTTAATTTAAACACACACTCACACACGTAAGCGAGAGAGACCAGAGCAATTTTATAGGGTGATTTTGGAGAAAAACTCTACAACTTGAATCCTGAAATCTTGATTAGGAAAACACAAAAGTATTGGAACACGATTCATGGCAATCACAAACAAAATAAACAAAACTCCAGACAGAACTTTATCAGCCACTCAGGAGTATTTCAATCCCCAGCTCTGTCAGCTGACAGTCTGTGGCTAGCACTTGCAGCAATTTTTTTTTAATTTTTTTATTGTTATGTTAATCACCATACATTACATCATTAGTTTTTGCTGTAGTGTTCCATGATTCATTGTTTGTGCATAACACCCAGTGCTCCATGCAGAACATGCCCTCTTTAATACCCATCACCAAGCTAACCCATCCTCCCACCCCATAATTGGGTTTTGTAGCAAATTGCTGAGGCTCCCAGTGAGATCTGCAAAATACTATCAAAGTTCCCAAACAGTGGGAATACACTTTGGATGTATCCAGGGGTGGATGATCCTTTGTGTCTGTCATTTCTCCATCCCGCTGTTTTACCTCTAGTCAATCACCAATTCCATCCCTCCCACCTGAATGCAGACATCATGGAAGGCAAGAAGAGAATAAAACAAATAGTTATTGTCTATTTACTCTGCGTCAGGCTTATGTCTGCATTAACTCTTTTAATGTCATCAGGTAGTTCTGTGAGACTGAAGTGACTTTCACGATGTTCCAAAATTAAGGGGCTAAAAATTGACCCCGCCGAACTTCACGGGTACTAAGTAGCATATTTGGGATTTGAACTCAGGTCTGTGATTTTTTTTTTTTTTTTTTTTTGGTATATCATACGGCTTTTCTGATAGGAGAAAGAGCTGATCTTTGTATGGGGTTAATTCTTTCAGAACAGTTTCACATGTAACTTTCATCTTGACATCATAAAATTTTATGAGCTGGGCAGGTTCTTTTAACTACATCATTCTGTCCCATCCTCCTTCTTGCCCTGAAGATATAAAAAGACTGAAATGCTGATCACCATCTCCAGGGGGAAAAAAATGATGATAGATAGATAGATAGATAGATAGATAGATAGATAGATAGATGATAGATAGATGAAAGAGATTGAAGTTTAAGTAACCTTAACTAACTAAGTAGAATTGCCTTCAGAATTCCTTCTGTCTTTTTCCTGAGTCATGTCCCCTGCTGTGCCCAGATGTTCAGGTCTCACTTTTGGCTCCAGTCTAGAATCTCCCTCCTTGGACAAAGCTTCTCACTCTGAAGCAAACTGTCCCACATCAAGGGCCTCCTTCCCTAGGTCTTGGTCCTTCAGAATTCGTTTGACTGACAAGAAGGAACAGTTAATAAGATAAGC